TCTCCTTCCTGTGTTCTCCGTCTCCTGACTCCGCACCCCCCAACTACTCTTATTAGAATAGCTTCCTGCCTTTGTGTCAATGTTCTTTTGTGTTGCCTTTTATGGTTTATCATGGGCAGGTATTATGTGTCGGAAATGTGTCGCTGATAGCTCCTGACTTTCGAGAGTGGCTGTCCGACCGTCCACTTCCCTCCTCTGCCGCCCCACGAGTCCCCCTGACGATTAAATACTCTTTTTTGCTTATGTCATATGCACTTGTTTGTTTGCATGCCATTCATCCTGTAGTGCTCATAGCTTCTTTCGCTTTAGTGAGCAGGCCTAGTATAGGTAGAAAGATGTAGGACGTAGCGAATGGATTGCTGTTGAGCCGGTTGTACTAGCAGAATAAATTTTATGCGCGAAATTATAAGATGCGTCTTTCAAATTTTTCAGAAACCGTTCGAACTGATGTCCAGTTATTTGTGTAATGTTGTTTAACTGTTCCTGTGGGTGGGACATACGTTCAGGAGTATAATTCTTACAAAGCGGTTGAAGTGAAGATTTATCACCTTCTAGTGCCAAATTTATATCCCATCTGTCATCATGAACGTGGATGTGGTACCATTATGCCACTAAGAACTGTTTTCCTATGGTTTCCCAAGGTACCATCGTAATTCTTTCCGTCATAGTCACCGCAGACTCTCGAATAGTTTATGCCCTTGGTATCAACCAGTTTTTTTTCCCAAACCACAAATGTTTATTAATACGGAAATGTCGCCCACTTTATTTTTCTAAGCGCAGACCGAACTTCGTTCCTTTCTGTCACTATGGCTTCCATAGTTGCCTGTAAGTTGCATGAGAGATTAAAATACTTTTTAAAGTGCCCCAGAGCCTGTGGACATCACGTAAGATGTGGATGATTTATTAACATTGACAGCGCACTCGGAGGGCATAGGGCAACTCTTGAGGGATACATTATTTTCTGTGCCTAGACGGGGGTTAAATGATTATAATTGACTATCTTCGCCCAGAATAAAATTAAATAGCACGCCCATCTGAATTTCTTCACGAAGTGAATGCTGCTGGGGAGGCTTCCAGCCTGACAATTGCAATTCTGCGATGGATTTCATCAGTTTACAAATACGGCCTTCACCAGCTGCGTACTTTGCGAAAATATCGTTCATAAATTTATGAACAGCATAATGTCTACCACGAGTCTTGCATTGGTTGCCTGACAATACTGCCGCGAATGGATCATCGTCCTCGTACACTCAGCGAGATGGACTTTTTAGTAAAATCACCTGGTAAAATAGGCTTTACTCACAACCTCCTTCTAATTAATACAAGTGATGGTTAAGTTTTATAGGAATAAATATATGTGATTTAATTTGCACTTCTTAATGACGATCGGAGAAAAAAAACTTGATTCTGCGTTCCTTGCAAACTAAGGCATAATATTTTACATTGAATACTTGAAAAAAATATAGGCACTCTTCTCTCCCGAACATTCCTCAAAGGTCTTTAGAAATATAAGTTTTTTTGAAAATTACCCTCTCCCTAGAAAATGGACTTAACAGGCAAAACTGCGTTAGGCTAAAACAGTCGAACTGATGCTTCTGGTTTGACATTTGACGCTAGAAATGTGTAATGACTTGATTTTCGTGCACGACTGCCTTTTGCTAAGACAGAATGCACAGGTTGCCTAGCGTTTTCGGGAATTTACGCTACAAGGTTTTTAAAAAATAATTAGGGCGGTGTTTTGCAATGGCCAGCGACTCCATCTGTCATTTGACATGGCACGGCCAATTCGGATTCAAATGCCGTAATTTCACCGGACATCTACTAATCGTTGACGATCTAATTACGCCTTTTGTACAAAGCAAACAGCTGTTTGATTTATGAAGCCATCTGAACAGAAACGTGCATGGGAATTCTCTCTGGAATATTTCTAGAGGCTGCAGGCTTCGATTGATATTGCTCCCCACGGAAACCTATGGCTTGTACGCTTGGTTCGGGTTAGGCTTAATTAGCATATTTTCGACTGAATAAAAATAGAACATATTTTTTTTCTTTTCAAACACACTGTTTGGAGGTTACGGTTTAAGTTTATTAATTAATCACTACATATCGTAAAAGTTCACGTCCCTCAGAACATGAAAATTTATCATAAAATCATTTAAAGTGGCCTTTTCGTGGTAATCACAGAACTTGTCATTTTCTCAGTGGACATCATGGGATTTGGAGTCGCTATTGATTTACCTAGTTCAAAACTTTAGGAACATGCATTCGTTTTCTTTAGTTGTATCTTATTCGCCAATCTACCTGAGTCTAAACCCGAAGTAGTAACATCAGGTGCATCATTTGGATATTCATCGCGTAGTTTCGTACCCTACACAAACATACTTCAGAGCTTTTTTGCACTCAATTAGGGAGCAGTTTTTTGACCGAAGTTTAGCCTTCCACAAGGCATGCGTCATTTAACATGCATACTTCGATGGTGAAAGTAAAACTAAAATGTTCATTTTTTTTCGTGTTTTCCTGAGGAAAGGATTGATACATGAATCTGCGTCCGTCAGCCTCAGTCTGTGTAATTAACTGGCATACGGCCGGTTTAAACATGTTGGAACTGATTTTGTACTCTGTTCAGTTTAAAATCTATTTAGGTAGGAAAGTATCCAGAAATAAAAATCAAATTCAAATGTGGTTGGACGAAGATTGAAAATGACACGAAAGCAGTGAATCGGTATTTCGACATGCGTCTCTTTTACATTGATTCCGCGTAGTTCTTCTGATCTTAAAAGATACGCAACTACGGCAAGGAAAAAAAGATACATATTTAAAATTTCTTGACAGAAGTCAAATGCCTTTATGTAAGTATCGGTAGGTATTGCTTGTTGTTTACCCCTTCCCCGACAGAACCTAGGAACGTGGATTGGTCCATATAAAAGTGACCTTGCGCAGAGAGCTAAGGTTAAGATTAAAGTTGGGGCTAAGATTAGCGTTTTATTTAACGCTAGAGTTAAGGTGAGGACAAGGAAACTTTATCTCTCCTAGATTTTAGCGTTAGACTAGTCTTATTTACTTATGAGACGTCCTAGGTTCCGTTCTGTCGAAGGAAGACATATGAGCGATTTCGGCCCAGGTATCTTTCAAAGGATAACAATATTTGATCGAAGCAACTTTGATTAGATCCCTCGTTTTCCCGATTTTATATAAGTGAAACATTAACTATTTTATGAGTAAAGAAGTGCTGACTTCTCAGTGGCATAGGCCCGTTTTCGCATGCCTTTTGGTAATAAGTCAGTTTATTATTAGACCTCTTGCAAATAAAATTTCGGAAACGTTTCACCTAGTCAATAAACGTACCTGTAAATTCACTTTCGATAAATAAATATTTTACCTTATGGTTATTTTTGAATTTTGAAGTAGATGAAGGCAATGAGGCAGTCATTATCTAAATTACAGATAGAGTTGGGAACCTTTTTTAATAAATCCCTTTTGCAGTTTGGTAACCGGAAACAGAATGGCGCAAAATCAGAACCTTTCAGAAAATATATAGAAACCAATGATGCCGTGAGCTTCCTACTGTTTAGTAGAATATTTTATTAAGTATAGCCACCATAAATCAGGGCTTTCGAGGAAGTATAGTATATTGATAGTCAGTTCTTCTTTCGAAAGGATTTTTATTGTTATAAACGGCAATTAAAAATGCATTCAAAAATGAGTATATCGACAGCACCAGAGCGATAAGTTTCTGTAAACTGCTAGATCACTGAATAACAAAACTTAAATAAAACACTCTGTTAAATGTGATATCTCATTTTGAAGGGAGGCGGACTCATTGCATGTGTTGCACATTATAGTTTGTTGCTGTTGTGCAAACCACGGTGTGCAAACAAGAGATAAGTTCAGCTCACCCTTCAAAAAACTCTTAAGTGTACTCTGGAATCGTCATGGGCCTTTGTTTATAAATATAGAGAATCAATTGGTCCCAAAGCCTTCCGTTTCGCGAGGAAAGTGAACGGCAGATTTTATTAAGCCACATTGCGTGATCAAACTCATTAACCAAGAAACATAGTGAATTTGGCTTTTGAGTACTGTAATTTAATTTTATTTCGGTGAAAACGGTGACTGGGGATTTGATTGCGCTGTGACACAAATGCATTATATCCATGAACAACGTATGCCTGATGAATGTTTTCTGGTTTTTCTTACTACAAGTTGATATTGCAAGGTTTACGGCGTATATATGCACCCTTGTTGATGTCGTTGGATTTAAAATACAAACTTCTGAAATCAACTTCTTATAAAAGCAAATTCATTATAGGAAGCTTCTGCATAAACCCTCCATCATAAGCAGCTCGACTGTGCAAAGACATATGGCACTCCAGAAAACTACAAAACTTAAAAATGCAATGATAAATGGTTCCTAGTGTTTTGGTCGAGACCTTAAAACCTTCCCATTTCTTTCAGTTTTCATTGATGTGTGCACCAACTCAGAAAACGATAAATAAAAGGAACAGATTGCCCAATTTTGAGTGGAGAATAAAAGGTGAACTGATTATTAAATGTTGCCTTCATTTTAACTTTCGTGATGATTATTTTAAATCTGCCCGCTTTCGCCAAATTTTACGTCTATTGGTTGCGCACGGTGGGCGCGAGTAACTAGCAAGTCAGTTAAATGGTATGTCATCGCTGGATGCAAAACTGGAGCAAATATCGCGATAGGACAAATCAGTTGAAGAGAATTGGCGGCAATTTTCCCTCAAATGACATTCCAAATGAATTATTAATAGCTGAGAGCAAAAAGCAAGCTTCTTTTTCCAACATGAGCTCCTTCAGATCACCGTTGTGATTTATGGTCATATAGCTCTTGTGCACTTACAATATGGTATAGGAGTATGCGAATGACATTTTTTCAAAGGGTTTGTAGTGTTTTAAAGCCTCTATGC